ATTTCTACTTCACATGTAACATTTGATTTTTGTAAATAATTTTCAAATGAATTTATAGACATTTATCTATTACAATTATTATTGTTAAACATTTTTTGTTATTTTTTTAAGAATAAATAAAGTCTGGAAGCTTCAAAAAGTATTTCTTTATATACACCAGTAATTTTGATTAGTCGGTCGCCATTTTAATTACAAATTTCTACTTCACACGTAACATTTGATTTCTTTAAATAACATAAATTCCATTTATCTATTAAAATTCTTATTGGTTAACATTTTTTCTTATTTTTTAAGAATAAATAAAGACTGGAAGCCCCAAAAATCATATTTTTTTATACACCAGTCATTTTGACTAGTGTGGTATACTAAAAATGGCGGTATATCTAGTGTTAAATTGAAAATGTTATCTCAACGATAAACGGTTTTTCGTTATACAACTTCTTTTTTTTTCTTTTTATTCTTTTTTAATGCTTTCAACATAAAAAAACAACAACTTAATAGCTATTTCAATTAATTTTACTTTGTATTTTTCCAATAATAATGTGAACGTTAAATGAGTTTAGCTTAAGGAACACTTTAAAAGCCAACCTCCGCGTTATGCACAGCTATCGACTTCCTTGTGCAATTGCCATAATTCGCATAGTGTGTTTGTATATATATATGTATGTATGTGTATGTATGTGTGCTTTGCGCAAAGGTAATTATTTGTAGATTAACTTTGACGATAAGTCACGTTAGAAACTACGGTAACGAATGGAATCGCGTTTAAACGTTTACAGGAATTTCACGAATGGATTGACAATCAAAATATTCCCTTGAATTATTTTCTATTGTTTAAATAACATAATAAAAACAAAATAAAACATTAAACGTCAGTCAAATTAATTTACTTACTGTTTTATTTATTATTGTTTCAGATTAACGTGAGGAACGAACGTACCAACGGAAAACACAACTTTCAAATAAATTGAATTTAATCGAATAACAAAGAAGACAAATTAAATAAGTGAAGAAGGATGAAGGTTAATAATAAAATAATAGAAAAATATAATCGTAGAAGAATTAATGGAAAATCATGTGGACGAATTTTAATCATCGAAATGGATGATGAACCATACAAGTTCAAATTATCCCAATCATGTAACTTAATCGGTGTTAATAAAGAGACAAGTGATACGATATTATATTTTCCTCTTACGAACTGAGTGAAAATCAAATGAACAACAAAATACCTTGAAATAGGATACTCAACGAATGAACGAATGAATGAATGGCTTGAAGAAATACATTTCAAAATATCATTTCCATGGACACCGAATCGAAGGATGTAGAAATGTCAAAAGAAACGGAAGGATCGATCATCAGAGAACAATAAAAACCTCATTGGCTATATATTAATAAAAAAAAAAAGAACAAAATGGAATTGAACGATACGATGGAAGAGGATACTGTAAATATAACCGATTTACCGGATCGATTATCAAACATTTTGATTGACATTGTTCATAGAAATGAAAATGAGACTTACGAACGTGGGAAAAATACTTACGAGGTTGAACACGTGTTAGTATTGACAGCTAAAGCAACAGTGATGGGTTTTATCATACTTTGTGCATTATTTGGCAATCTTCTCGTAATAGTGTCAGTAATGAGGCATCGTAAATTACGAGTAATAACAAATTATTTCGTAGTATCGTTAGCATTGGCTGATATGCTTGTTGCAATATTTGCGATGACATTTAACGCATCAGTAGAATTGTCGGGCAAATGGTTGTTCGGATATTTCATGTGCGACGTATGGAATTCTCTCGACGTATTTTTCAGTACCGTATCAATTCTTCATCTTTGTTGCATCAGCGTGGATCGTTATTATGCAATAGTACAACCATTGGATTATCCATTGATCATGACGAATCTACGACTTGGTGCAATGTTAAGCGTAGTTTGGTGTTCACCAACGGTCATGAGTTTTCTTCCAATATTTGCTGGTTGGTATACTACCAAGGAACATCTTGAATACAGACAAAATTATCCCGATGTGTGTGTATTTCAAGTGAACAAATTATACGCGGTTATAAGCTCAAGTGTAAGCTTTTGGGTACCTGGCATTATTATGATCGCAATGTATTACAAGATTTATCGTGAAGCTGATCGTCAAGAACGTATGTTGTATAGGTGAGTTTTATAAATGTCAATCATTCTTTTTATTATCTCTTATTTTTTACATGATAAAAATGCATCTTTCGTGTCATGTCCGTGTCGTATCCCCATCGGAGCCACCCCCCATCGGTTTCTTCAAAATATTCTATTTCAATGTTGCGTTGGTATATATATATATATATATATGTGAAAGTGTAGTTTTATTTCGTAAAACTTATCGATTTTAATATTAACGCACACGATGGATTTCCTTGACGTTTTTTTTCCCTTACTGTTCTCATTTGAAATTTTCATTTCGTACAATTTATACACTGTATATATATATATATATGTTCGTATATTCGTGAATATTGCTTCCGGAGACGGCAACATTTTACCAATTTTTTTTTCCATGACCTCATTTATAAATTGGGAAAGTGTACTGGAAAAAAAAATAGCTTATGTTTTTATCTGGTCAAACATTTCTACATATATACATATATCTATATATATATTTGTGTATGTGTGTTGGTTCGATAGTCGCACGTTTGAAAAGTGTCCTAGAAAATTTCAAAGCACTTTTCCTATTATCTTTATCTTTGAGAAATAACCCTTAAAATACGTGTCATATACATATACATATACATATACATATACATATATATATATAAGCCCTGTGTGTTGTCATTCGTCCGTTTCCAATTAGAGTAAAAGGTGTGAAAAATATAGACAAATCAATGCGTGAACAAAAAAAAAAACCTTTTCTTATTATTATTCGTTAAGACTGTTCTTTTCAACAGATGGAATTTATAAATTAATTTCGAATTTCGCGATTGTGGCATTGACATTTTTCACATATTTCTGACAAGAATTTTTGCATCAAGGATGTTCTTGACGTTTTTTGATTTGCCATTCGATTATTTCTAGTACATTCAGAGAAAATCAGGCCATGGTAGGATAAGATTTAATTTTATCCTTCTTTGTAAAGCTCTTTCTAGAAAATGGGTCATATACTTCGAATCAAAGGATCATTTTTTTTTTTTTTCTTATTAATCGAACAAAGATTGAACAATTATGATGTATACAGTTTCTTTAATGTAACTTTAAGATTTAATGTATTTTTGATTTTCCGATGATCTCTTCTTCTGATTTAAAAAAAAAAAAAAAACAAATGTTTCTTTCCATTCATTTATTTAATTCAACTGTGACTTTAATTACGAATTTTGTTTTTTTTTTTTTGAATCAAATATACTTTCATTCTAATATTTCATAAATAAACATATTTTTCATCTTAATCAAGAATTTGTCGATTTAATCAAATGAATCGATCATTTCTTTTGTAATTTATTTATGCAAATAAAAGAAGATCTCATTGATGAAACATAAATCGATATGACGTCATTATCACGACGCATGACAGGCATACATATTCTATACGAATGCATTAGTCGACATTTGTATATCGAATTTACTTTTTCATAATTATAACGAATTGTTCCATGTTACCATGCAAATGTCAAATATATGACAACTCACGATAGATAATTATTATTAACATAATATTAATATTATTAGGCAAACAAGGAGACGTTAATTATTGAAAAATATAAATGAAACAAAATATTAGATTAATTAATTGTAAATATAGTGTCTCAAGATTAACGCAAGATTTGAATTTGCCGCCACTTTTGCAACCCTGAAAAAAAAGAACAATTTGACAGTTGAGAGTTTAGTGTTAGTAAAAATGGAGTTTTAAACAATACAACAATGTGTTTCAATTATTGAACAATATTTCCGAAATAATGAAAGTATGGCGGCTGCAAAATGGCGGCATATACGTAATCAGAAGTGGGCCGCCCCCTAAATCGTGTGATTTAAAAACTGTATTTTCAATTTAATTTTTGCTATTATTTTGAAACACCCTTTATATATATATTAAACCAGTAATTTTTTCAAATTACATATTCATATCTATTAAATGGTTTTTTTACGGTAATAGGTAAAAGTCGGTTTTAATCGACGTTTGTCATTTTCTTTCATTTAGTTTGATTTCCTTTTTTTTTTTTTTTACATTTAACTTTCATATAAGTCAATTTCACGTTATTTGATATTTGATCTTTTTTTTTTATATAACCTATCTATCATATTTCTATTTAAAGTTCTTCCTTCAAGTCTGCCATTACGTTGAGAAAACTGAATTATACTTTTTTTTTCTTTTTCTTTATGAACTTCCTCAAAATTGACGAGACTTCTTTCATTTTGTTTTTTTTTTTTTTTTCATAGATAGTTTTATAATAAAAAAAGGAAAAAAATGTTCATCTCCAATCAAACCTACCATTACAAATATTATCAAACGTTAATATTGGAGGTTACGTTCAATCTTTGAGGTTAGGAGAAAATAAAAAGAACAAAAAATATATTACTATATATATATATATATATATAAAAAGAAAATCATTGAAATATGAAACTTGATAAAATTGAAATTGAATATTTCATCAAATATTTATCATATTCATCATATTCAAACGGGTTTGTTTTTTATTTACATTTTGATATTTGAATTATGAAAATATGTATAAACGTATTTTCTTTAGTTTCTTTTTTATTTCTCTCATAAATTTTCAATCACATTCTAACCTATGCTTGTTTCTTGTTGTATATCAAAACGATCGAGAATTTTGATAATACCCTGCGACCTTTAAAACCTCTCGAGCCCTTTTACAACTTTAACCCCAAAAAAAAACTCCCTTTTTTTCAAGACTTGTTACCCTTTTTAATAATCAAACTGAAAATATGAATTATCTCCAAGTATTATATTTCATTTCATCGAACAATATGGCGGACAGACAGATTTAGACGGACAGAATGGCGGACAGAAAATTTAGCCCAATTTATCAATTGGAAGGGTTGGTTCTGTGAATTTGTGTCTATTTTTTTCGTTCAAACTTTTTATTTCGTTTTTACAAAGGTCAATCACATCATTTTCGACGATGTTTGTGCAATGCTTGAAAAAACAATGGAATTGTTGGGACAAACAAACAGTACTGCATTATGCTAATTTCTCATATTCCATTGTACCATGTATATGTTTACTCTCACATTGAAATATAATACTGTGACAAATACAATTGTGCAATTGTTCTTCATACTTTTAAGTGTAAACAAACAAACAAAAAATTGTTAATGTTGTTTGACAAATATACTTTTTACTGACGCATCAAATTATGAAAATATCACGAATCTTTTGGTTTTGTAAAATATCTTAAAACCTCAAAGAGAAAGAGAGAGGTTTCAATGAAATATTTACAAGGTTAGGTTGTGTGTGTTTGTGTGTGTGTGGGGAGGGGGGTGGGGATTGGTAAAGAAAAAAATAAACTTATTAATCTAATCAGAAGTGACCTAATTTTTTTTGTATTCTCTTCTTCTTCTTCTTTATTATTATTATTATTCTTTTTCATTTCTTTTTAATACGAAAGAAAGATGGATGGACGACCACCGAGGTCAATGACGAATCAAACGAAACTTCTCGCAGAGTCTTTGGTCAAAGGAATGAATAATATAAGTTCGACGGAAAAGATAGAAAAAAGAAGAAAAAAGAAGAAAATAAAAGGAAAGAAAAAGAAAATATGAAACTCATCGTCGTCTAGCTAAAGGCTAAAGGCATCATCCATGAACTGGGAGGATACGAGTCGTTCGTACTGTTCCACTTCTCAGATGGTATAGATGCTTATAGGAAAAAAAAAAAAAAGAAAAAGAAAAAAAAAAGCCAAAAGTGTCGTTGATAAAGAAAAGAAGAATGCATGATTTTGATCCCCTTAGGGTTTTATTTGACCGCGATCGAGAAACGCCGCCGAGTTGTCCTAGAAAGTCAAGGTATTCTCTCGTTAATGAGCTTTTGTGTTCAAGAACCAATGCCAAGTATAATTCTAAGACGATTTATGCATCCAAAAAAAATTTCCATAAAGAATCGACTGATCGATATATGTATATATATATATATATATATATATATCATTTAAAGGGGATGTCATTTATTATTAAGGGGATTGAAAAGTAATGGCGTCGTTATTACGAATGTCAAATTATTTCTAATATTTCAAATCAAAGAATCGATTGATGATATTTAAAATTTGCATATCAAATAGTGACTAATTAATTTAGTTAATTAATTTAATTATTAATTAATAATAAAAATTTGTTTGTTTGACAAATTTATTTGTTTGAATTTTGAGGTTAAAATGGGACATTACTGGTCTGGTTCACTTAATATCAAATAATTAATAGAATATAATTATATAAATGAAATAAAATAATGTCATCGTTAACTTTGACATTAACATAATTCATTATCAATATAATTAATTACATAAATTATAAATATAAATATATAATTATATANAATAAAATAATGTCATCGTTAACTTTGACATTAACATAATTCATTATCAATATAATTAATTACATAAATTATAAATATAAATATATAATTATATATAATATTTAATATATTATTATATTGGAGTGATCGACAAGTAATGGCGTCGTTACTACGCATGTCAAATTATTTCTAATATTTTAAATTCAAAAACCCGATTGATGATTTTTATCGTTACAACATTAAAGATTGTTAATTTAGTTAATTAATTTAATATATTGATTATAATAATGTTGGAAAAAAATATATTTGTTTGAATTTTAAGGTTAAAAAGCAATATTACTGTCTGCTCCATGTAATATTAAATTATCATTATGATGAAATAAAAAGCAGTGATAAATGTTATTATAAGAATTACAAGTAAAGGTATTACATTAAAAAAAAAAAGTGAATAATTGTTAAACAAGTGAAATGAAAAGTTTTCTTAAAGTGTATTCAGAAAATATACCCTATGGTAAAATATAAACAGATCGTGTTATATATTTTCCTCTCAAGTATTACAAAGTGTACTTGTTTTTCGTGCTTTCAGACTCGGTAGGAGGCTAATGTCTGCTTGTCAAGCGAGCAACATTATCCTAAGAGCAAAGTTTTACGAGAT